TTCAGTGTTGCTGGTCTTATTTTCCTTGCATCTTTGTATTGTTGGTTAGGTTCCACTTAGAGGTGAGATCATATGGTATTTGTCTTTCACCCCCTGGCTTATTTTGCTTAGCATGATGCTCTCCAGTTCCATCCATGCTGTCATGAAGTTTAGTAGTTCTTTTTTTCTTTCTGCTGCATGGTATTCCATTGTGTATATGTGCCATGACTTTTTGATCCAATCATCTACTGATGGGCATTTAGGTTGCTTCCAACACTTGGCTATTGTAAATTGTGCTGCTATGAACATTGGGGTGCATAGGTTCTTTTGTATTGGTGTTTTGGTGTTCTCAGGGTATAGTCCCAGCAGGGGAATCCCTGGATCAAAAGGCAGTTCCATTTTCAGCTTTTTGAGGAAATTCCACACTGCTTTCCACAATGGCTGCACCAGTCTGCATTCCCACCAACAGTGGACTAGGGTTCCCTTTTCTCCACAGCCTCGCCAGCACCTGTTGTTTGTTGATCTGTTTATGATGGCCATTCTGACCGGTGTGAGGTGGTACCTGATGGTGGTTTTGATCTGCATTTCTCTGACGGCTAGTGATGCTGAGCATCCTTTCAAATGCCTCTGGGCCCTCTGTATCTCTTCCTTGGAAAAGCGTCTGCCTGGGTCCTTTGCCCATTTTTTGATTGGATCGTTTGTCTTCTTGGAGTGGAGTCAAGTGAGTTCTTTATATATCTTGGAGATCAAACCTCTATCTGATGTATCATTAGTGAATATATTTTCCCATACGGTTGGCTCCCTTTTCATTTTGCTGATGTTTTCTTTAGCCGTGCAGAAGCTTTTTATTTTGATGAGGTCCCATTTGTTTATTCTTTCCTTTATGTCCCTTGCTTTAGGAGACATATCAGTGAAAAAATTGCTGCATGAGATATCTGAGAGTTTCCTGCCAATGTTCTCCTCTAGGACTTTGATGGTGTTGCGACTTATATTTAAGTCTTTGATCCATCTTGAGTTTATTTTTGTGTATGGTGTCAGCTGATGATCCAATTTCAATTTTTTGCATGTAGCCGTCCAGCTCTCCCAACACCATTCATTGAAGAGGCTATTATTGCTCCATTTTATGCTTCTGCCCCTTTTGTCAAATATTAGATGCCCATAGAGACCTGGGGTTATTTCTGGGCTTTCTATTCTGTTCCACTGGTCTACGGGTCTGTTCTTGTGAATTCATGGCTCCATTTTGAACAGAGCAATACCAGGGCTAATGAAAATAAAAATTTCAGTTAACTTACCACGGTGCTTGCCGATTCTCAGTGGTTTATGTTATTAGCTGTCCTAATCCTCATAACAACTTTATGAAGTAGTGACCATTATTATCTCCATTTTACTTATGAGGAAATAGAGGCCCAGGGTGATTAAGTAACTTGCAGAGTGTCACACAGCAGGTAAATGGTGTTGGGATCTGAACCTAGGCAGCCTGGCTCCAGGCATTGGGAAATGTGAAGAAAGGGTCAGGTTCGGATGCCTGATATAATAAGACATTGCTTTTCCAAAGCATTTCATAGCTTATAGTGTTTATGTGTTTCATTTAATCTTTACAGTAACTCAATGAGGCAGACATTCATGTCATTCTCATTTTGACAGAAGTGTAAACTGAGGCCTAGAGACATCAGAGACTTTCTTAGGAAAGCTGTTGTGAAGTGTTAATGAAGATGAGGATAACAGGGAACCCTTGTGCACTGCTGGGGGGAATGCAAATTGGTTCAGCTACTATGGAAAACAGTATAAAGGTTCCTCAAAAAATTAAAAACAAAACTAGCATATGGTCCAGCAATTTTCTGGGTATATAACCAAAAGAAATGAAAACAGGATATTGAAAAGATATCTGTACTCCCATGTTTATTAAATCATTATTCACAACAGTGGATGAATAGATAAAGAATACATGGAACACACAAACATACACTCTACAATATTATTCAGCCATGAGAAAGAAGGAATCTTTCTATTGCAACAACATGGTTGGACCTTGAGATCATTATGCTGAGTGAGATAAAAGAGAAATACTGTATGTTCTCATGTATATGTGGAATCTAAGAAAGTCAAACTTATAGAAGCAGAGAGTACAATGGTGGTGTTGAGAGGCTGGAGGTGGCAGTAGAGGAGCTAAGGAGATGTAGGTAAAAGGGTACAAAGTTGCAGTTAGAAGATGAGTAAATTGTGGAGATCTAATGCACAGCATAGGATTAGAGTCAAAAACACTGTATTATATACTTGAAAGTTGCTAAGAGACTGGATCTTAAATGTTCTCATCACAAAAATGATATAATTGTGGTGGGATGGAGGTGTGAGTCCAAGGCAGAGACCACACTTCCTGCTTCCAGCATATCAGTGCCCTCAGTGCTGCTGCCTGGCATTTCTGAGCTGGCCTGGCTGCCCGTGCAGAGCAGGTAGTTTTGGACAGTGAGCACAGAGGAGAGTTTGTAGAAGGGCAGGGAGTGGAGAGCTTGGTGGGGCCAGAGCACCCAGTGTGGGGAAGAGCTCAGAGCCCTATTTTACAGGAAGAAAGTGGGGTGGGCAGGGCACTTCTTAAGGACCGAAGAGTTTGCCCTTTATCCTGTGTGCAGTGAGAGCCACTGGAGGCTTTTGAGGAAGTCAATGGTGGGGTTAGAACTGGGCTTTCGGAGGCTGAGTTTCGACTCTGTGTGACCAGTGACTCAGGGCTTCCCCAGCTGAGTTCCAAAACCTTGTCTTCCTAGTCTGCATGTGGCCTCCTTCTGCAACCTGTCTGTCTGTCACTGAGTGTTGCTATCTCTTAAGGGGTGTAAACTCTTAAATGTCACTGGCCCTTGTAGGGCACAAGTTTGTGTGTTTAGTTTGCAGCCTAGTGAATGCAAAGTCCACAATGGAGCATGGGCCTTGTGTGAGCCATTTACCACACACATGACAGACATCATTGTATCTTAGTACCTGGAATTTACAGACAAGCTGACTGAGCACCAAAACCTGGGTTTTCTCTCCAGGATGGCTCCCTCCCTCTTCCTTCTCTGGAAAACTCTTTGACTTTTCCAGACCCAGTCAGGTGCTCCCTGCCCTGTGATGGCTTTTAGCTCCCTTGCTGCAAGTGATCACTGTAGCTCCTAAACTCTGACAGTACTGAATCAGTCCCAGTTTTTATTTTGTTAAAGATGTTTACTTGTTTATTTTTTCAGCTAGGCTCAAGTGCTTTGAGGAAAGGGTCTGGTCTCTGTCTCTCTTTATCCAGCCCAGGCCTGGCACTGGTTAAATACTTAAGTGGGCACAGTCATCCAAAATGTGTATCACCTGCGGATTGACACATACATGTCCTAGGCACTAAAATACAGCAATGAATAGACCAAAGAAAGTTCCCCACTGGCCCTCATTGAGCCCACAGACCATTGGAACCTCTGCTGGTGACCTCCATGTGCATAATTAGCAGCTGAGACTTCATGCTACCTTCCTCAGTTCTGGGAATGTTAGGTTTCAGGAAGGAGTTTTTTGCAACGTCAGGTTAGAAGTGCTTTCTTTCAGGACCAAGGTATTGACCTCCAAATATGAACAGACTCTGACATTGGTAGGTTGTAGGGGCTTGCTGCACATGTACTGAATGGAGTTGGAGTAGAAATATATGGGTAAGATTTTACTCCAGAAGGAGAAGTTGACCTGCTTGCACTAAGGCTCACTAGTCATGAACCATGAGAAGAATACAACCAGCTCTGAGAGTTCTCTGTGAAGGGATTGGATTTTAGAGGCAGATGAGCCTGACAAGATGTAATCAGACTACAAAATAGTTGGTTTTAATTTAACACCTTGCCTCCAACAGGTTTTGCTGCCTCTCTTGGCATCTTCTCCGTTCCAGGACACCCTTTCAAGTTTTAGAAGCAGTAACATGCAGGTGTTTTTTTCAAGGCCACTTAGCTGAGACAGGGACTTGCCTTGAGAAACAGAGAAAGCCAGAAGGCTGGACAGAAGGGCATTTTGGAGTTTTGTAATCTGTGGAGTAACCAAGCTATCAAAGAATCCTTTCCCCCTTCACCCAAAACACTCACACACCAGCTGTCAAGCCCATGGGAAGCTAATGAGAGAGGGCCCCAGAATTAAGATATCAGTGTTTCCAACAACTCATCCTGGTAGAAGAATTGATGGTTCCTGGTCTGGCTTGGCCACTGGCCCCGCTGGCCAAGTCACTGTCTTTCCTTGGGCCTCAGTTTCCACATCACTAATATTAGGAGGTTGGACTGGATTGTCTTATATGTCCTTTTGGCTTTTTGTAGGAAAGATCAGGGGCTCTGATGTCAAATACACCTGGTTTTAAAATGAAAAAAGCTTGAGAGGTAGGGTCCATGTGGTAGAAAGAGCTGCATGTGTTCATGGGGTCCAGTACTGGCTCTGCCCCCTATTAGCTGTTTAACTTTGGGAAAGTTAGTTACCCTTCTGGGGGCTGGGTTTCTGATTTAGAAATAGTGATGTGCCCTCCTCCCTGGGTAGTTGGGGGTAGTGTCTATCATGAGACATTGCAAAAAAAGCAGTCAGACTGGGGCTGGGCACAGAGAAAGCTTACAGTCTGTGTGGGTGATAATAGTAGTATTTGGAGATGCTGACCACTTTGAAAGATGCTCATGAAGCTGGGTGGGTAAGCACAGGCTTTGAGAAGCTGCTCTGAGAAAGGCAATCCCAAGAAGAAAGAGATAGGGAGATATAAAATTCCATCCAAAGGTTTCTTGCTCATTTTGGAATGGGCTCACTGGAACAGCCTGATGACCCTAAACTGTCATGAATGTCATTATCCCCACAAGGACAGGCTAATTCAGGGCCTCTGGTTAGGGCTGGGCTTGACCTACCCTACAACTGGGGGCTCCAAGCTTTTGTGCAGCCCATGTGGGGGAATCCTGTGAATGCTGGGACTCTGGGAGAGACCCCAGGCTCCTGGCCCAGCCCTGGTTTGCTCAGAGTATGGCCTAGGCTTTGGCTGTAGGAGAATGTGCTCTTTCTCTTTCCAGTGCGTCGGTCCAAGGCAGCTGATGAGGAGAGAAGCCGCCGAGCACAGCGCGCCCGGGATGAATACCGGCGACTTTCCCTCCGTGCCATCCAGAAGGGCACAGTCGCTGGCCTCAGCTTCATGTTCCGAGAGCTTGGCCAGAGCCATGAGCAGGACACCAGACTCTACCACCACTTCCCGGGCCCGGGTCCACCGCTACCCCTCTCAGTGCCTATCAGGTGGGTTGGGCGGGGCTGGGGGGCTCTGCATGGGGAGGCCTGGCTGGGGACAGGGCCTTGGACAGGGGCACAGGGAACCAGGGAGCCAGGCCTCGTTCTGCCTCTAACTTGCTATGAAATTTGGGGCTAGTCATTTCCCCTCTGTGGGCCTCAGTGTCTCAGACTGTGTAATGGGGCAGGAGACAGGAGAGGGAGAGAGATGGGGGTTGGATATTTCTAATAACTCTGGAGTTCTGGGATTCTTATCCTTTTGGGGGCCTCAGGTTCTTTTGAGAATGTAAAGGAAGCTGTGTACCTTCTTCCCTCCAAGATGTGCGTATACAAATACCCCAAAATGTTTACATATAATTTCAAGCTCTTAAAGGTCCACAGATCCCAGGTTAAGAACTTGAAATATAAGACCTCAAGTAGATTAAATATGGCCCAGTGGCCTGGAAACCTCTGTAACCACAGGCAGTGCTGGTGCATCCTGGGTTCTGACAACAGGTTTGCAGATGGGTGTGGTGGAATGCAGGAGGCTCACGCGTACTGGTGTCATTGGAGGGGTCTGGCAAGGGCACTTAGGTGACTGCTCATGATTGCCATGACCAAGGGTGGAGTGGTTGCCTGGAGCCTCTCCACCTTCTGCCTGTACCTACCTGAAGCCAGCCCCAAGATCTGTGTCCACATCATTGCTGAGCAACTCCCTCCCCCAGAGGCTGGGTGGTGGTGAGTGCCTGCTGGCTCCCTGAGCCACAATTAATCTGCAGGAGTCTATTCACCCCCAGATAATGGAGGGCTCTCTGAGTTTTGCTTTAATTGGGATTTAGGATTATTCATACTCCCCTTCTCCTTCTCCCTGCAGTCTAGGGAGAGCTGATCATATCAGAATTCCTTCCTTCCTTTCTTTCTTCTTTCTCCCGTTGTCTTTGTGATTTACAAACAGAAAGTTTAAAAAGATATGTGGAGAAATGACAGGCTCCCATCCTTGGCATCCATCCACTCAGTTCCCTCCTTCCACAAGGGGACTACCTTTCTTAGTTTATGTATCTGCCTAGTCCCTTTCTGTAATTGCCAGTATGAAAAGTTGTATCCCACTCTTTTTTTGCATAAAATTTGTGTATTCTACTGAGTTCTACATGGTAAATTTTCCCATTTATATTTTGGAGATTTTTTTCATATCAATTCTTAACTATGTATTTATTTTTATTTAGTTTTCTTTTTACAGCTGCATAGTATCCTACTGCAAGGGTGTGCTATAATTTACTTATCAAAATTTTTATTAATGCCCTAGCTGGTGTGGTTCAGTGGATTGAGAACTGGTTCGATTCCCAGTCAGGGCACATGCCTGGCTTGTGGGTCAGGTCCTCAGTAGGGGCTGTGTGAGAAGCAGCCACATATTGACATTTCTCTTCCTCTCTTTCTATCTCCCTTCCTCTCTCTAAAATAAATACACAAAGTCTTTCAAAAATTTATTAATGAAATTGGTGGTGTTTGAAATCTTTTGTTATTACCAATAATACCCTTACAGAGTAACCTTGTGGATGTTAATTTAATACACAGACAGCTGTTACCTACAAGAGATTCCCCAAAGTGGGATTGATGGGTTAAGGGCTGTGTGCATTTACAGCACTGATAGTTATCACAGCTTGCTCTTCATGGGGGTTGTAGCAATGAACACCCTTATCCTTTAGCCTTGTCAACAGTATGTTGTCAAACTTTTGTGTGAGAACTATATCTCAGTGAACATTTAAAATCGCATTTATATTTATGAGTGAGATTAAGTATTTTGTATGTGTTTCAGAACCATTGGTATTTCCATATCTGCCTGTTCTTTCTTTTACCTGTTGTTTCATTCTGCTATTGTTCTTTTCTTCATCCCCCATACCTAAGAACTCTTTAAATATTAGGGAAGAGGATCCTTTTGTTCGTGATAAATACTTTTCCCCCTGTTTTATACTTATCTGTTGACTTTTGTAATGATGTTTTCTGTCATGCAGGAATTCTTGATTTTTATGAGGTCAGATTTTCTTTTATATTTCCTGGCTTTGGAAACATAGTTAGAAAAGCCTTCTTGGCATTTTCCCAGGAAAATTATAATCTGTCATTTTAAAGGGAACAGATGATCTGTCCTTCAGGCCCACATGATGGAGCTGCATGACAGTGGTACAGCCTGTCTCCAGGCTGGCTGTGGGTAGTTGTCAGGAGGGGAGCAGCGACCACCACAGTGAGCCATCAAAGGGGACGAGGGACCATGCAGATGGAACAGAAGACCCAGTCGCCCCAGAGGCCATGCATCAGCCTCCCTCCTGTGGCTGCCCATGGGATAGGTCCCTGTGGTCTCACTGTCCTCAGCTGTGCAGTACCGGTACTGGCCAGCCCATCCTTATCTGACGTCTGACGGTGCTGAGGGGCAGACGCAGATTGTTTATGGGAGAGACTTCCAGGTGCAGGAATGAAGCTTCTGGCCAGGTGGCTTCTTGGAATACCTTCTTAGCATTTATATTCTGGTGAAATCAGATTCCTTGCTTAGAAACAAAGGAACAAGAGTGAACGCATTTTTTTTTTTTTTTTTTGCTGTTATTTATAATCCCCTCTTGCCTTCTAAGGAAAATGAGTCCTCGAAACCAGAGGAGTTTTTCCCTTGAGCAGTTACTCATTGGGAAATGCAAGTATGAAGGAAGAAGCTGGGCAGGGGTATAGTGTGCTGCTTAACAAAGAGGAAAGGACTCTGGGGTTACTGAGAGGGGGAAACCCCAAAGTGTGGAACATTGGGAGCAACATTGAAAGTGAGAGGTGAAGAAGAACCTAGGGAAGCAGCAGTGGGAAAGGTGTATAGAGTACAGACTCCACTGCTGGTGACTTTAAACCATGCAGTGGAACCTCATCTGCTATCTTTCTTATAACAGCTTTCCTAAAATCACACTCTTCACTACCACTGTGTATGTGCGTGTGAGTGGATTCATTTTAGGGCAAGTAAAAATATAAACTCATTTTGGGGTTTGCAAGAAAGTGCCAAACTCCACATCAAAGTGCTGGTGCAGGGTAAATATAGAATATGTGAGGGGACAACTCATTTTATAAATAACGGTGACAATAGTGGTGAATTGTAAATGCCATGACCAGTAAGTGGCTAACAACTACAAAGTAAGAATTTATCAGGTTCTGTCCCTCAGTTGGAAAGGTGAAAAGCTGTGTTTGTTCAAGCTGGGCCAAGGGTCTGCCATTCACATGCTGTATTTTCATTCTGCAGATTAATGCAATGTGATCTTGCTACATATTAATTTGACAAATAGCTTGTGTGTGCCTGTTATGTGTCATGTGTCATTGAATTCTAACTGTGCTTCCTGTCAGTGTGGCTCAGGTATAATAAGGGTCTTATGGGGCCCAGTCTCATTGTGCATTCAAGAACCACAGTTCAGACATAAAAACAATTAAAATCTTGGCTTATTTGTGAGAAAATATAAAAAATATGTCATTACTCAAAAATTCTTCAAGTGCCTCTATATGCCTCACTCTCAGTACCTTCAGACCCTCACCAGATCCCCTTTGAAATCTACCAAAAGTCAGCAAGTGCAGTGCTCTGCTCCCTATTCCCTTTCCCCGGTCCTTATCCTTTTAATTTTTTGGTGGTGAATCTCAGCCACATCCACAGTGAATCGAGGGTCTCCAGTCTCTCTCTGTTCACTGCCTTGATTCCACTTTACAAAAGCATGGAAGGGAGCCAGCTGGCAAAGGCAAGTGTCCCCGGTGGAAGGCCGGGGAAGGGGCTGCACTGAGAAATAAACTGTAATTTTCTTTGGTGGGGTGTGGAGGACACTTACATGTTAATAGTTTTGCTCTTGTTACATTAGGATCTTTCCTCATGGTTGCTCATGTTTACACCCTGGCCATCCTAGAGGGAATATATGCCTTTTCTTTCCCACAGACCTCCTATTCTGTCCTCTTTTCTGCTCCCACCTGTGTGGCTTTTTTCAAAGCAAGTGATAACAGTTTTCTTTGGGGAGAAATAATAACAGCTGGTACTCTATAATCTGCGAAGTGCTTTCAAGTACCTGGACTCATTTAATCCTCACCACCAGTGGTGTGAGTGTGGGCTTTGTGCTCATTCATTCTCAGAGTGACCTCCCTCCCTGCTTTCCCCTCCCTCCCCACCCCCTTTCCCTCCTTCCCTTCTTCCCTCTCCCCTTCTTTCCTGACTCTCCCACACTTCCTCTCTTTTCCCAGCAGGACTTGGGAGCGCCCATTGCGACCTGTCTCCAGAGAAGTCATAGTTCGCTGGTTTAAGGAGGAGCAGCTGCCTCGCCAAGCTGGCTTTGAGAGGAACACCAAATTGATTGCTCCCTGGTTCCATGGTAGGACTGCTGTCTCTGTCTCTGGGAAGATACCTTTCATATCTCCATTTTGTACTGAGACTGGAAAGGAGGTCCTGAAGGACTGTTATAATCAGGGGAGTAAAGGACTTCCGATTGCTAATTTCATTCTGCCCCACAAAGATGGACCAATCTCCCAGGGTTAAGGATCAGCTCTCTTGGCTCACCTGGGTGAGAGTGGGATGGTCAGGGGTCCCTAGTCTGTCACTTACTTGTACAGTGAATATGCTGAGTTCAAGACACAAGGTCTGATTTCCCCAGAGCATGTACTGAAATACAAAGCAACCTTTCTCCAGGCCCTAGGAGACCAAGGCATAATAACATCTCTGAGAAGGAGCCTAGAAGTCTGGACGCACCAGGGAGACTGAACCTGCACTCCCTCTTTCTGCCAGGAAGGGATGAACATGACTCTTGCCCACTGCCCTCACTTCACAGGCTCCTTGGCCATCAAGGGCTCCTCAGAGGTATCTTCTCTACACTAACAAGACAATGAAGTCTCAGTGGACCACGAGTTCCTAGTGGACTGGGCCCAAATCTTGTTGTTTGAGCCTGCATCCTCAGGTTCTGGCCATGGCCTGGCATGCAGCAGGCTCTGAGCAAATACTGGTTGATTAAATGACAGAGTGTCTGCACAAAGAAATTAGCCAAACACAGAGCCTTAGAGCTGGGAGGTTCCTGGGAGTATTTCGTTGCTTCATTTTTACAAATAAGAAAACAGGCCTGCAGAAGGGAAGAAGTTTTTATAAGGTCGCAAGGAGACTTGTAAAGTCAAGTTCAAGAATGTATCTCATGGCTCATGGCCCCAGTCAAGTGATCTGAACATATAGAAGGCTCAACCAGGGAAACAGGTTTGTGATTCCAGCAGAGACTTGCTACAGGGAAATAGGAAGGGCTGCTAGTTTTAACACTTCCTATATCAGTTAGTGATTGCTGTGTAACAAATCACCTCCACATTGCCCTGTATTTCCCTTGCATTTGTCTTACTTTCTGGCCAGCTTCTATGTGTTCTCAGTTCCATCCAGACAGAGAGATAATCCCAGTGTCATGGTAGACATTGGAGGCTCTGGGATCTTGAGAGCTGTTAGGGATGCCTTCACAGGCAAGCTCTGGACATGGCTGTAGCTCCAGGAAAGGCAGCTGCAGTGATTAGAAGAAATCGCTCTATGCAGGGGCAAGCAAGACCATGTGCGCCTTCATTCTCACCTCCAGGAGGCCAAGTAATGTGTGAACTATGAAGTGCAGACAACAGTCGCACTCTACAGATGGTATGACTGAGACATAGCACTGTTAAGGGATTGCCCAAGGACACAAAAGTCACAGAGGCACCACCCAGTCCAGGTTGCAAGGGTGTCCTCATTGGTTTGTCTCTTTTACTCTGGCTCCTGTACAAATCACCTTCCACACAGCATCCTGAGCATATCTTAAATATAAATCAGATCCTGTCACTGCCTGCTCAATATCCTCTGCTTCCCTTTATACTTGCAATGAACTTCAGACTCCATGCTGTGGTCCACAAGGCCCCAGATGATGGGTCTGGCTTCCAACTTCATGCCATAATTATTTCCTTGCTTTCACAGCTCTGGCTTTTTCCTGTTTCTCAACCAGCCATTTTATTTTATGTATCAAGCCCTTTGCACTTGCTATTGCTTTTTCCCTAGCTTTTTGCATGGCTAATACATTCCCATTTTTCATCTGAAATATCCCCTCCTCAGAGGGGCTTTTCCTGAAACCCTTACCTAAAGCAGCCTTCACCAGTTTCTCTCAATTCACTGTATTTTTTTCTTGCCCGATTTGTATTTATCTCATTTGCTTAATGTCTATTCTCCTACCTAATGTGAGCCTATGAAACTAAGGCGCTTGTCCCTTTCACTAATGCCTACCATAGTAAGTATCCATGGGAAGAATGGACGAAGGTAGAAATGATGTGTTGAAGGTGAGAAAGGATCCCAGTCTTTCTAATTCTTAAGAACAGCACTTGCTTCTCTGCTTTGGACCCTTGTGAGTGTGTACATCTCTTCAGGGACCAGTGAGCAAGATTGAGCTGGAACAATCAGAAAACCCAGAGCCATACACAAAAGGTGAGGCCAGTCTTCTCAGTTGGCCATGTGCTCACGGGGGCCAGGGCCCTACGCCTTAGGCGTTTCTGTATTCAACAATCACCTCTGCTTTTCATCTGCCCAGTAACAGGGCCAAGGAAAACTCACCATCTTTCTCTGTTGCCACTGTTTTTGAGCTCTCCAACTTAATTAATGGCATCCCCATTGTGTCAGTCAGATTATGCTTGGCTGTGGCACAATGAAAAATGATCCCAAAGTCTGAGCAACTTCCACCAAGACATTTCCTACCCATTTGACATAGCCATTGGGTTGTGGAATTAGATATGGGCCTCAGACTGAGGGAGCTGCTTCTATTGGAAACTCTAATGGTTTCATGACAGAGGGAAAAGAGAGGCATGGCAGACCACATACTGGCTCCTGAAGCTTCTGCGCAGAACTGACATACACCATTGCTGCTCACATTTCTTTGACCAGAGCCAGCTTGGCCTCTGTGATGTAGATGAATAGTTTTGGGTGACAGTGGGGTCCATTATAACCACCATCCACTTTTAGGCTGCTTTTTTACTCTTTGGCCTCTACATATCAAACAGGAGATAGAGTGGCTTTTTATTGCTCAGAAAGAAGACAATCAACTTTCCTGGGTGACTTAACTGCATGTCCCTGGAGTTGTCCCAGGGATTTACTACCTCTCACCTCTGTCCCAATTATGTGTCCCTCTAGCCTCTGAGAGAGCTTCTGTTTGAATCACTGCTTTCTTCTTCATCCATATATTATTATAACTATGGAAGCATGACACTAGCATGTTTGGCACTGCACAATGCAACTCAAATTTGTGTGGGGTGGGGGTTTGTCAGGGCACTGGTTGCTCTGTGGCTTGAAGCAGACAATAGAGAAAGCAGGATGGATGGAGGTGGAGATGCTCAAATTTATCCTTAGCTTTATTTGCTATCCTGATAAAAAAACAAAAACATAAGTTTTATATTGTCCCAGAACAAACAGAACCATGATTTCAGTCTCACAATTTATGTAACGGATTTCATGTTCTTTTGACATTTCTACCATAAAGCATGCGGGAAAGTTGCTAATATGTGGACTGGAGCTATTTAGTGACAAAGTTTTCATTGCTCTGTGACAGAATGAAAGAAAAAATCTCACACATGGGGGGCGACCAACTCTCTCTGCTTGGAAAGGACTATGTCATATTCCAAGACAATATTCTTTCCTCAGTTTTAGTGTCAAAATGTCCTATCTTTTATGACTTGATGGTGATAGTAAACAGTAAGTTTTTTTTTAATGTATTACCTTTGCTCAGAAGCAAAAAGGTAACAGCTCTATGTTGTTTTCCCAACTCTTTAGAGTAACTTTACTCATACCCAAAATCCCAATGTCTGCAGCCGCTGGTATGGTTCAGCTCCTTTCCCAGTATAGGAATTCCCTGATAGAATTCCTGGTAGGACTCCTGCACTGACCTTCATGGAGACAAAACCTGCTGTCCCCCAGGCAAAGCCTGATGTTAGGGAGCCTTTGCTGCAGGCTCTGCTCTCAACTGGTGCTGGCGGGGCATCTTCACTGGGGTGGCTCTGCCCCATGTGTCTCTCATGTTCTTCCTGGGACCAGCAGGGTAGCCCAAGCACACTTCTCAAGGAGCAGACAAGTGGCTGCATAATAGATCTTGCAGCCTAGTCTTTGAGCCAGCACATCATCACTTTCACCTCTCATGCTATTGGTCACTGTATATCACAGAGTTGAGTGTTGGGAAAATATATTTTGCTCCTTTCATGTGAGCAACTGCAAAACCATATGTCAAAGGGTGTAAAGACAGAGAAGGGAGGAGAATTTGAACAATAATGTAATCTGTCACAATGCTAACATAAATTGATTCCCCCCACCTAAGTAAAATGTTCCTAGCTAATTTAGCTGGATTTTAGATGCAGGCAAAAAATGACTACTGCGACTTCTATTTCCTTCTCTTCCCTCAAATTCATTTGGATGTGTCATGGTGTAATGCAAAGAGCAGTGTGGATGAGGGGTCTGACGATACAGGCCCACTCTAGAATTGAGCAGCTCTGTGACCTTGGTTGTGTCCTTTAAATTCCCCATCTGTTAAACTGGGGTTATAACATCGACTTCACAGGATACTTATGAAGATAAAAACAATAAATGTGCTTTGCCTGCCATAACGAGCCATGTCATTGTGAATGCTGATGTCTCCTGGAGTCTGAGGACAGCCTCCAGAGGCCCCACATCTCTGGGAAACAGAGTTTGGGAAATGGGGTCCGAGCACAGAGTGGGTGCTGGGTAGGGGGGACGGGCTTCCTGCTGCTACCATAGGGTTCTTGATAGAGTTTCCTCTGTTAAAAAGAGACATAAAGTGGTAAGGTCATTCCTCTTTTCTCCTTCCTTCATTGTTACATCCTGGGGCTTATAAGAGAGAATTTTAGTTATCTAAAAATACTCCCGAGAAAAGTGAGTGCATATAAGCTTGGCTTTGGGGAAAAGAAATCTATTTTTGTACTTCAACATGTATCTAATTTAAGAACATCCTCTGTTTGCACATTGGCTCAGTTGGAAACCATTTCTCTTCCTGAGCTTTACTTCTAGAAAACATGATGACGTCCATGGTTTATTGTCTTGGCAGCAACCCTCTGCCTGTCTTGAGGCTTGCCCTTAGAGCTCAGCAGGGAATGGAATTATGCAGTGGATGGTGCAGTTGGCCTTGGAAAGCTATTCCTGCAGGACCCTGGTGAGGGGCTGGGAGTGAATCTCAAGGATGGCCTTACTAGCACTTGGGTGTGATGTTATTGTCAAGATTTTTCTAATGAGAATGAGGCAGGAGCTTCACTGGGGAGGAGGCACTCCCCACTCATATAGACAGTGTGGTCTTCAGGGAGACCAGGGGTTGGGGCTGGCTTTCCATGCTTTCAA